TAAAAGACCAAGTTGGATATTTTGGTAGAATTGGGGTGCCAACCAAGTTATATGTGATATAGACCAATGAAATCCCCATTTGGGTCCTCTATGTACTGGTCTTAGCTAAACCCTAGTTTAGGGCCAATGGGTCTAGGGGACCATTTATATGAGTTTCATAAAAGTTCAAGGGATCAAAGTCAACAAAAATGGGTTTTAGGGTTGTGAGTGAAAGTGAGTGCATGTGAGTACAAGTGAGTGAACTAGCTCCAAACCAACACTCAGGATCAACCTTAAGGCCAAGCAGTCCTATGTGGACTATCCTTGCGCTTCCTCTATAGTGGCCCCACCTACTAAGTGTTAGAGGTTAGGACCAGTATAATGAACTTCAAGTTGAGCACAGAAGAGTTTAGAGTCTCTAAAGGTGAGGGTTCCTTTTCTATTTTTTTAGGAATAGTCAACAGGAAAATCTTATGGCTAGACCCTAAGCTACTAAAGAGGGAAAACTAAATCTCAACCAAAAGTGAGGTCAACAGTATTATATAGAGATATACAGAGTAATACAATTATTTACTAAATATGAATAGACACATATTGTTAATATTCTCAATAGAGGGATTCTAAAGATCACCATAAGATCTAATTAAAGTAATAGTATTCCATGTTATGGAAACCATCTTCCTTTCTCTACTATTGTGAAAAAAATAGTAGAATGAAACCAATAATAAAGGTAACTCTAAACAGTAAACTTAATAAGTTAAAATCTACTTGTAGAAGATAAGACCTGCTTCTAAGCAGCCAAGAAACTATGGAGATTATCAAGAAGAAGATGATAATCAACAACAACTAAATTTGAGGACATAATAGTAACAACAAGATAATTCTAAGATAATAGCTAAATGTTAAAACCACAAATATCGCACAAACGTTGCTGCATGATAGGCTCAACCGATTAAGGAAAGCAAATTTCAGACTTATAGATATTAATAATGAAATTAGAAGCACAACTAAAAATATAAAGAACAATAGATATACGATGAATGGAATTAGTACCACAAATATCGCACAAACATTGCTGCATGATAGGCTCAACCGATTAAAGAAAGCAAATTTCAGACTTACATATATTAATAATGAAATTAGAAGCACAACTAAAAATGTAAAGAACAATAGATATACGATGAATGGAATTAGTATAAACTCACCAAAAATTAGCAAATCATTATCATATATAAGGTGAGAAATATTACCAACATCTTGATTTATAACATTATGATTATGAGCATCTAACATAAAAGAAAGAGCATTCATAACACTTGCTAAATAATAATTTATTGGTATGATTTCCTGGTATTGACTGTGTGCATATGCCATCATATTTACAAAGAAATTTTAGTAAAATCATTTCAATTAAAAAAGAAAAACAAATCAAGGACCGCTTGATAAGAGAAATAAGAAAGGATAATTGGGCATTTACATACGTGCCGCCTTATTCTTATCGATTTACTTTTCTAATGCCTAAAATTGAAATTGTGCTCAAATTTTTAATACCACATCTAGAATATCTTATTATTTATTTTTCAAAGTGAAGTAAATATTTTTATGTATAGAATTATGATAAAAAATTTAAATAGTAGATAGATAAACACATAAAAATTATGAGTTATGTACGTAAATGCTTCGAAGATATTTTAATATTTCATGGTTATCATGTGTGGTTTTCCTTCAAATTAAAGAAAAAAAATGTGATTGGGTGGCAAATAAATCCACGATTATAGCATTTGGGCAGTTTTATTTTATTTTAGTTCTTAATTGAACATCAAAGGAAGAAGGCGACTTCTTTGTACATTTGTATCAATATATTTGTCTAGAAAATATATCATTTTCACGTATCACTGTACAGATGGATACTTTTCCTACAGCGCAAAATAAACTATTTTGTTTCTCTTACAAAATATATCCGAGACTGCTAGGGGAGATTAATAGTTTACCTTTTCATTTTAATGAAGCACGATACAATTTAAAAAAAATATATGGAGGTTTTATTTTTATATATTCTTATCAATAGAAGGAAAGCTGATTCAAATAAAATGAGCATTCCCTGGGTTTAGAAAAATGGGGCATTTATATATCTATTATTTCAGTTTAAATTTATTCATATATAATACTGAAATTTTTTTTATCAGCTATAAAATATCAATATTATTTATTTTTAAGAAGTAAAATATATTTTTTCAAGCAAGCCGTGTTAGATATGCATAGACATGGAACTTGTGTGGTATGTATGTAAATCTTCCTAAAATAGGGAGGGAAATAAACATTAAGAACTTCATTGTTTAAAAGATTTTGAAAATATTTTATAAAATATTTTTTCAGTGCAATATTGCTATATACCTTGGGAAAACAAAAACTCAAACCAATTTAGCTCGTAGTTTTGTTGCTGACCAATGATATCAATTATATAGCTATATACGTGTGTGTGTGTGTGTGTGTGTGT